TCATGGGCTAATGATCTATTACTTCATTACTTCATTAACTGATTTGGTTAATTTCGCAGATCATCTTTTTGCTGATTATTGTGTCATTGATTCTTGTAGATCAATTCACATGATGATCATTTGCAGATCACTTTACTGCGTCACACTTCTAATTTTCTAAAGATCATTTGGGTTACAACATATAAAAGTAAAATTAATTTTTCCTGATAGTTTCTCCCCTTTCTATTGCAAAGGTCCTATATAGTCTAATTTCTGATAATTACTATAGCCAAAGTTATCCAATATAACTGTTATTCAATAAAAAATCATCATAAACAATTGATAGTTAATTTGATAAATAGAAAATCAGCTATCAATTAGCATATTAATAAATCAGCTTAAAAATCAGCTTAAATCAGCTTAAAATTAGCTTAAAATCAATTAAGCAACTCATTTTTTGATAATTAAATTACCCAAAAAGAAAATATATTTTATTCAAGAAAATATACATTTAAAATAAAGAAAACAGTTAAAAACCCACCAAAAAACCACCTCCGGTTTACTTACCTTAATGTATTCCTAAAGAAAGTAAAGAAAAATAAAGAAAAAAAGGGCCAAAAACCATCTAAAAGTTATCTTTGAAAGGCTTACTTTAATTTAGGAATTTCTAAAAAAGATAAAATCAAAATGAGATGCTACTACTGACTATCAAGTTACTAGACTAGTAATTGGGAAACTTGGATTCATTTAGCGAATAAATATAACGATAATAAATCTTTTTCAGATTTTTAGATAGGCACTGACTCTTTCTTGGTGATAATAGTAGTTATTAAATATGCATTTAGTGGGTCTGTTGGAGGAAAAAGATGATGATAGGTCGATTCAAATGGGTTTAAAAAAATAATCACGAGTACTTTTTTTGTTTTATTTTTACTTTATGTATTTTGTATTATATTAATAACGTTGCTGGTAGTATCACATCATCACATATATATATAAATATATATAATCTCCATAAATACGAAACGGATCTATATTATATTGGATTAAATTTCTTGAACAAATTGGTTAGATAGAATTCACATATCCCGTTACTAAAAACATTCTTCATGTGATCAAAAATGCTTTTGTCAAATGACCTCACGTGTCGCCAGGCCTGTAATTCGAAAGTCAAAACCGTTTATATAATCAAGATTTACTGGATACAAATCGAAATATTTACGATTCCCTGATTTTATAATTCAATATATATAAATTAAATAAACGAATTTTATAAGTAGCAACCTAATTAAAAATTTGTGGAATTTAAAGTTAATCCAGGGTTTCACAATTTACGATCTTATCAATGAGGCGTTAATATATTTGTATAATTTAAAATTCCAATTTAAAATTCAGATTAGTTTATTGTTTGGCGTTTTTTTTTTTGTTTTTCCATATGTCATAAAAGTTCATCTAAGGGAAAAAAAAAAAAAAATTTTTTTTAAAAGTATCATCTTTTTTTCCTTTTTTTTAAGAAAAAAAGGGAAAAAAAAATTTATCCGACCACAAGTTTAAAACATGAAATTCGGTAGCCAACTTAGAGAAGCCTTATACGGTGAATGGAACGAGTCATATCTGGATTATGACGGTTTAAAAAAACACCTAAAACGTGGCGAGAAGAAAGAAGGAGGATATACTGAAAAAGATGAAAGTGACTTTGTTGAACGATTAGATAAAGAATTAGAAAAGGTAAATATTACATGTATTAATCAATTATTTATATATATTTTGTCACCTTAATTATTCTTCCTTTCTATCCATATTATTCTGATAGATTTATGCTTTTCAAAACTCCAAATATGAAGAAATTAAAGTACGCGTCCAGGATTGTGAAAATGCTGTTTCAAGTATAAATAACGTCTCCTTTATGAACGTACCTAATAAATATGCCGAAGTTGAACGAGAAATTAATGATATTACTGAAGTATTAAATGAACTTGCCAAATATGCTCGTTTAAATTATACTGGAATTATAAAAATTGTAAAGAAACATGACAGGTAACGAAATTTTTTTATATTTGAATTTTTGCGTTTATGAATCTAATGATCTTTTATTATCTTTCTAGACGTACAAATTATATTTTGCGTCCAATGTTTAGTGTTCGTTTGAACGCACGCCCATTCTATAAAGAAACCTACGAACCAATCATCGTTCGGCTTTCTAAGCTCTATCATATTGTTCATCAAGGGTTAGGAGCCGATCAACCTACTGGTGAACGTCCTTCTACCCCAAATTTCTCATCTTTACCAACGTCATCATGGAATCCTTCCACAGTTATGCCATCCCAAGAAAAAGTCTTGCGTCATTCTTATAATTATTGGGTGCACCAAGATAATATTATGGAAGTTAAAACTACAATTCTTCGTCACCTTCCTGTTTTAATTTATAAACCTGGTTCTGATTCGTCGGTAACATCAATTTATTTTGATAATGAATTATTTGAATTTTATCAAGATAAAGTTGATCGTAAGCCAGGTGGTCAAACTATAAGGTTACGATGGTACGGTAATAAATCGAATACCAATGATATTTTTGTTGAAAGAAAAATACGCGAACAAGGGGAAGATGAGATTAAAGATAGATTTTTAATCAAGGATAAGTATGTTGATGCATTCTTAAAAGGAGATTATTCCATGGATAAAATGATCAAGAAAATGAGGGAAGATCCTTCAAAAACGGAAGATGATATTCAACATTTTCAAAACTTGATTAAAGATATTCAAGATACTATTAAGGAAAAAAAATTGGAATCTATTCTTCGTACTTATTATAATCGTATGGCGTTCCAAATTCCTGGTGATCATCGTGTTAGAATTTCACTTGATACCGACTTTTATATGATTCGCGAGGATAATTTTGATGATGTACCCCGTCGTAAAGATAATGAATGGCGTCGTTCGGACATTGACAATGATCAATTTGGTAAACTTCCATCATCTGAATGTTCAAAGTTTCCTTATGCTTTATTAGAAGTCAAACTTAGGTTAGACGAAGAGGAACAAGAACCAGGTTGGGTTAAAGAATTGATAAACAGTCATTTAGTTGAGGAAGCTCCCCAATTTTCGAAATATGTTCATGGAGTTGCTACATTATTCACTTCTCAAGCACCCTCTCTACCATATTGGGTATGTAATTAAGTATAATTAATCCTATGTACCCTACCCTTGTTTGTATTGGTTTAACTTAATTATATTTATATAGCTACCAAATATCGATAAAAATATTTTGAAACCGCCAAACGCTCGTCAATTTCAAGAAGAGGATTATCCTGAACCATCTACCTCTTCTGCATATACAGCAGTTCGTCCGAAACGAACCATGTCAGGAAAAAATGTCATTAATGTCGAGGTTGTAGGTGATAGTAGTAATAGAAGCAGGAAAAACAAAGGTAAAGCCGTTGATTATAGCATTGAAGAAGAAACGGTGGGTAATGAAAATTCACCCTTACTTGGAGAAGAGGAGGAGGAGGAGGACGAGGAGGACGAACAACAAAGACCTATTGGACTTAAAACTTTTCGTCAAATGTTTCGGCGAAAAAAACGTTCAGCTCCCGAAATAGTTGTTTTACCACCAAATATTCGTATACCACGTAAGATTATCACACCTGTGCGTGTAGAGCCCAAGGTTTTCTTTGCAAATGAAAGAACCTTTTTCCACTGGATGAGATTTAGTGTGTTGCTAGGCTCGTTCTCTTTGGCATTGTTTAATGCCGGTGGCCCTGACGACAAAGTGGGATTTGTGTGTGGATTTTCTTATGCAATTATTAGTATCGTTGTGTTGATATATTCTTTAGTAAAATACAATGAGAGGCTCACAATGATTAATAACAGACATCCTGGTCCTTATGGTAAGTTCTTAAAATAATCTTCATATTAAAATTCGTGAGAAATAAATAATAATGATAATTATTACTTTATTTTAGATGATCTCCTAGCGCCTCCATTGGTTTGTCTTGCGCTATTTTTTGCCGTGGGAATGAATTTCTATCTCAAGTATAATCCCAGAATGGTTGAAGGTAGTAAAAGTATCGAAAATGATTTTAACGTTTATAATAATTTAAATGCCTCTTCAATTCCAATTTTGTTCAATACGCAAAATGTATAAAAACAAAAAAAAAAAAGATTATAAGGAAAAAGCGCTTAACACTATAATTTTTTTTTTTTTTTTTTTTTTTGTTATTTATATCAATGTAAAATACTCTTTTTCTTTTTTAATATAGAACATATTAAATGTATCAATAAATAAAAATTAATAAATATAAACAAACAATATTAAGATCATGTTAAAAATTATGAAAAAACCTTTTCAAAACTTAATTTATTAAGAGAGGGAAACGAAATCTATATATCAAAATGATGAAAAAATCAATTTATTTATTAATTCATAAACAATGAACTGAAATAATTCAATTATCATCAGTTCACGACAATTTTTTTTTTTTTTAAAAAAAAAACTTTATATTATCATAAAGTAACAAATCACTAATATTAAAGAAAAAGTCTATGTGTGATAAAATTGTATTTGAAATAAAATCAGGAAAAAAAGTGTCTGAAACTCCACCCATTCCAAAATAAAATAAAAATAAAAATAATATATAGAGAGAGAAGAGAGAGAGAGAAAAAAAAAGGAAATGAAATGTCTAAACAGTTAAAAGGGGAATATATAAAATTTTTATTAAAAAATAAATTTTTTTTGAGAAGAGAAAGAAATAACCCATTTTGAAGAGACAAAAATACAAAAATACATGATTCATTATTTATCATTTGCGGATTTTTTGCCGATGCCATTCTCTACTATTAGATTCAGGGTATCCGATCCAGAACCATTTTGCTGAGAAACTTGTGGTTGAGGAGATGATTCTTCCTTTTTCCGGTCTAGTTCGGCAATTTCAGCAGCGGTAAGAAAGCGACCACCTGGTCCACGAGGTCGTCGCATGGCGTGCTTATGACGGGATTCATGAAGGTATTTCTGTCACATCAAAGAAATAATTATTAGTTATATTTTGATCAGATAATCTCAATTTATAGTACAGTGAAGTTTAAGCAAACCTTTCTTCCTCTATGTATCTTATTTTCAGCCTCAAGTTTTGCTCTAGCAGCTCGTCGTTTCAAAATTCTGTGATACTATTTGATAATAATATTTTTGTTATGTTAATCAAATTGAGACGATTAAAACCATATTTTGTTGATATACCTGTTTAGCATTCACATAAAGAGGTTCTTCTTGTTCATCCATTCCTGGTGTTGCTGCAGGTGGAGTACTGGAAGTTCCAAGTACATAAGGGCTTGGACTCATGATCTAAAAATATTTTCATAAAAACATAATAAATAATCTATTTTCTAAATTTTATCATCAAAAAAGTATAAAAAAAAATTTACCAAACCATACGGTTGATAATTAACCCCATAGGAACCGGATGATTTCGTATGATCAGATTGAAGAGCCTACGAAGTAAGATGTAAGAAAAAAAAAAAAAAGAAAAATTGGTAAGAATTATTTTGTAACTTTGTATTAAAGGAATAAAATATTCAGCTTACCGGATCGACTACTACAGTTTGGTTAGGAGTAGCCAAGCTAGTATACGCAGTCATATCATATCTATGCTGCTGGTCTTGTTGTTGCTGGTCAGATTCTTGTGGCTGACCATTAGATTGAGCCTCAACCGGAACTCTATCGTTATTATGGTCTTGTTCTTTGATATCCATTATATATTAGAAACAAACGGCGATTTGAAAAGAAATGTCCGCACACAAAAAGGTTTTGAAGGTATGAAGTGTGATGATGAAATTGTTCTGACATATTTTTGAGTTTAAAAGTTTAAAATTTCATAAAAAGTATAAATCAGTAAAAACAAATTATGAGCTTTGCTAGAACGCTATTGTAAGCTCCGACTGAACAAAAGTTCAACGAAAAATGTCAAAGTTGAAGTTTCCTAGTTAGTGAACAGCTTTAATTTACCTGCTTGTATTGGTATTGGTGGTTTCTAGTCCAATAAGAAGTGGAGAGGTCAAACGAGAATGAGTGGTAGATGGAAAGGGCGTCAACAATCAGTTGCTCTTGTGATTTGCTGAATGTTCATCACAAGGTATATTTATATTATTGTCTAGCTCTAAGTCAGTAACCAAAAATGGCAAATTTTTAAAACCTAAAGATGACGTTTATTTAAAAAGTGTAACCATACCCGCAGCTATACTTGCGTCCTGTCGGGAATCGAGTTATAAGCCGGATATAATCCGTGATTTTCAGCTTGCATGCTTTGTAATTATGATAAAGCAATTTCCTAGTGATCAATATATCCAAACATTAATGTATCGAAATAAATAACATTTATAAATCTAAATAACCTAAAAGTTCTTTTGAATCTCTAATTTTATTATAGCATTCTATGTTTTCTACTTTTGGTGTGTCGGTTTCCAGAACCACCACAACAACTATTTACACATTAATTTTATTCTACTTTCTATTTATGCAACATGAAATTGTTCTTCTGGTATATAAATATAATGTCCTTAATTTATATCAATTTAGCTTAAGAGACATTATATTATTAATATTACAATGCTACTACTTTTGATTCCTCAAAATTATATAAAAATTAGCTCTATCAATATTTGATTGTTCAAACATTATATATATAATAGCGACATTATAAATTATAATGTCTCCACAAGAATGTCCCTACAAAAATACAAAAAGTAACTGAAACCAACAATGTGTTTAATGGTTTTTCAATACTACTCCTAGGCCTTTTCGCTTGTTCTCTAATAATAATAAATAATAACCATAAACCCCGAAATCAGAATATTTTTTTTTTGGTCCATTATGAAACATCATATTAAAGATTAATTAAATCTTACCCGGTGCCTTACTGCCGCGCCTTCCCGGCTTTAGTTGCCGAGGTTGGTTCCCCTTGCCTACCTTGCCCACTCCCGCACTTATATTGTCATCATCAGTGGGCTTACATCGTTTTTTTCCCTTCATGGTCGTTAGTTCCTTCTCTTCACCTTCCTCTTCACGGAATCTGGGTCTCTTCATTTTATTTTCTAAAAAAAAAAAAAAAAATATATATATATATATATATATTTTACAATTTCCAACCGCGATGTTTCATCAAATAATACATATTATTAAAGATTAAAGATTAAATAATTTTTACCTTGAGTCTTGCTTCTTTTCCCTGATTTCAATTGGAGGGTTCTAACCCTTGAAACTTTATCTTCAGGTTTTTGTCGTTTTCTTCCTACGCTTTTCGGTTTCTCTCCATTATTTTCTTCGCGCGCTCGCTTTCTCCTCTTGCTTGTTGGCTCTTTCTTTTCGAGCTCAGCCTCAACGAGCTCGGCCCATTCATCAGACGCCCCTTGAATATGAACGTCTATTACATCTTTCCAATTATTTGACGTCACTTCGGTTGTATTAACGAATATTACTTTACCACCTCTACTGTGAACCGCTTTAGAAAAGTCCTTAACCAAACTCTTACATCCGGAGACCTTAAGCGAAGTTCCCATAATCAATAGACAGTCAGCCTTACGCTGGTCGTGGTGAGCGATTCGACCAATTTCTTCTCCGACTGTCCTTTCAAAATCATTATATAGTAATATATTGGGTCTGGGAAGCATTGCAATTCTGGTTTTTCGTATTCTTTTACCAGATATTCTTGCCTTTTCCGCTATTACAAAAAAAAAAAATTAACATTTAAACATTCACAAAAAGTGACGATTCTTTATAATTAACGAAGGAACAAAAATTTTCAAGTGTTAGTGATATAGACATCTACCTTGTTCCATACAATATTGACATTCTGGAGGAATGCCGTCTTTAAATGCATTGATAACATCGGATGAAAATGGGAAAGTTTTATGACATATATTACACCATACATTGTCGATTTCACCATGTAATTTGACAATACGTTCAGAAGACCGTGTATTATGACAATCATTTACAGGGAGACCAGCACGCTCCTCCAAGTTATCTACATTTTGTGAATATACTCGCAAAAGCTTATTCATATTATTGAGCTTTGCGAAATGTCGATGGGTGGCTGTTACTCTCGCATTAACAACTTGTTGCTTTAACAAAGCCATAAATTTATAAAATGTCGTTATTGATCTTGATGAAGAAAAAATTCTAGACCCATCAAATAAATCGCGACCCGAGGAGAAAACTCCGGGATATTGTTTCATAATCTCTGCGAACAAACCATCAGGAGAACGGAAATCCTAAATATATAATTGAATTAAAATAATATCTGTAATTCAAAATTATACTTTTCATGTATTAAAGGAAAGCAAATTTAATTTTTAAGTTTTACTTTAAAAAAGCGCGTTATTCCTTTCCAAGGTCCTTAACAGCTTGGTAAGCTGAATTAAATTTACTTACAGGTATGCCACCTGACACACTTATTCCAGCTCCAGCGATTACAACGACGTTCTTTGCATTTTTGATGTGTTGTATAATTTCCAGTAACCGCGGTTTATTCTGCTGGTTTAAAAGTAACTTCTCCATGGTATTAAGAAACCTAGAATGGCCTTTTTTTTTTTTCCTTCGTTTTTTTTCTTTTTCTGTTCCTTTTCCTTTCTTTCTTGGATACAAAAAAACCTACACTTGTTTAAAAGTATTTGTTGATAATACGTCTTTTTAGACGTTTCAAAATTATCTATAGGCAAGGAAATATTTTTATAAAGGCCACGATCTTTCGTTGAGAAGAAAAAAAAAATAGCCGTCAAAACTTTACTTATGATACACAAGACGTGATGTTGATCGTTTGTACTTTTTTATAACCAAAGAAGCATGGATGATGAATTCAATAATGACATTTTGGATCCAAATGAAATTTCCATTTTTAATTCATATGATATGATCACATGAATGATAAAAAACTAGTCGGGATTTTATTATATGTTAGTTGTACAATTTCTACAATTTCTCCTATATTTGACATATTTGATTATCGACAAATTTATCGAAAAATTTATACCTATTTTTAATTCATTCTTTACTAATAATATAAATGTAGTGTAATGTCATCAGGAGGCTCATTATGATTTGACATCATGATGCAGCATTTCGAAATTAGTTCGCCGTTTTGTCATCCTTGTCATCGGTTTATCTGCCGTTAACGAGTCAAAGCAAAGCATCTGATTTTTTTTTTTTCGTACCTTAAATATTCTTTCCTTCTTTATATCGATCGATTTTATAGATTTTATACCGATATGAAAAAAAATTTTTTTTCGTGAATCACGTGAATGATTGATGATTTTTGAACTATTTGATCTGACCAATCATTAAATACTCCAAGACCCAACATGTGACATAAATACTAAATTCCATTTTTATTTTTTTTTTTCCTCCTCTTTCGATAAGGTCTATATTGCCTCGTCAACATGGTAAGCTTTTATAATCACATTTATAGACAAATTAAGTCACTAATAATTATAGTTGATGGAAAAGGAGAAATGGATGGGAATAAGAAAGGTTTAAAAAAAAATTAAAAAAAATTGTCGAGATATAGAAATTTTTGGATCTTAGTAAAATTTATCATCCATCATAATTTAATCTTAATCCTTCAGAAACAATTCTTTTATAATGAATTCGAATGATCAATCGAATTTATTCAAGCATTACTGTTATTATATTTTCAAATGTATTAACGAATCAATCCCTTTATAGCCATTCGTTAAGGCGGTAAAGAACAAGGGTAAAATTATTAATTTATTGATTTAAAATTTTCTTTGATTTCTCTTCTATCAATCAATAATCTAATATTTCAATTATTTTATTAAATAATAATAGCTTACTTCAAGCGATATCAAGTTAAATATCGTAGAAGACGCGGTAGGTTTAATTACAAATGCGAATGCTTTTACGTGTAATCTAACAAATTTGTAATTTTTTTTTTTGATCTAATTTTTAAAATGATGATTACATAGTTCATCTGAATATTTATTTTTTTATTTTTTTTTGTTGATCAATGAATCTTTCGCTCCTATCTGACCACAAATTAGATCAAAAAAAATTTTTTTATTTTCTTATTAAACTACTTTTCTTAATTTATAGCTTATTGACTTTTTTATAAAAAAAAAATTTTTTTTTTAATCACAGAGGGCAAGACCGATTATTATGCTCGTAAAAGACTAGTCGTACAAGCTAAGAATAAATATAATTCTCCGAAATATCGACTGGTAGTTCGTTTCACCAATACGGACGTTATTATTCAAATCATTTATGCAAAACTCGATGGTGATTTTGTCTTAACGGCAGCTTATGCACATGAGTTACCAAGATTTGGTATTAAAGTTGGTTTGACAAATTGGGCTGCAAGTAAGTAAAATTTATAGGACCATTTAGTTTCATCCTTTCTAAAACAATCATTCCAACTCATATACTTATAAGATTTCACATTTTTAATGTGTTTTTAGCGTACTCCACAGGTTTACTTGCAGCTCGAAGAGTTCTCACTAAACTTGGATTGGCTGACAAGTATCAAGGTGTCACTGTACCAGATGGTAAAGTGGCAACCATCGAAGAACTCGAAAATGCTCCACGTCCTTTTAAAGCTTTCTTGGATGTAGGTTTAAAACGAACATCTACGGGTTCTAAAGTGTTTGCAGCCCTTAAAGGTGCAAGTGATGGTGGTATTTTCATTCCTCATTCTGAAAATCGTTTCCCTGGCTACGATGCTGAATCAAAATCACTTGATGCTGAAACCCTCCGGAAATATATTTACGGAGGTCATGTGGCCGAATATATGCGTCTTCTCCAAAATGATGATGATGATAAATATAGACGACAATTTTCCAAGTTTATTGAATGTGGTATCAATGCAGATGACCTTGAAGAACTTTATAAATCTGTTCACACAAAGATTCGTGCAGATCCTAAATTCAGGTCCACAGAGAAGAAGGGTGATTACAAAGTTTTCAAGAAGGTAAATTAGATTTAAATCATTGTTAAAAAAAAAAAAAAAATTTTTATAATTAATTTTATGACACTAATTTTATTTCTTTATCTCCTCTCAGTACAAGAAATACCGATTGAATTTGAAACAGAGAAGAAACAAAGTTGAACAAAAGATCGAAGCTTTCAAGCGCGCTCAAGCAAATGATGACGATGATGAATAAAATATTATTTAATTAGTTAAAAGTTTAATTAATTCATTAATAAATTAAAGATATTGAGGCTGTAAGCTGTTACTTATGATGAAAAAAAGTATATAAATATATGTATATTTGGTGAGATTTATATCGTGAAGTAAAAACTAGAAAATTTTTGTTAGCCAAACGCATTCATAAAATCATTAAAAGAATTTTATTCAAACTTTGAAAATTTATTCTACAATGCAAATATTACATCTTTTAACAATTAAGGATAATTTAGGATTGAAAATTTTAAAAGGACAGTTTTGGGAAATTTTGCTAGCTTTTACCTTCTTTCTACTTATAAAAATTATTTGGTAATCGCGGAAATTTAAGCGTCTTGCTTTAATTTTTTCGTAACCATCTTTTGTTTGTTTTTTTTTTCCATTTAGTTCGCAAATTTCATGTCAACTTTTTAATAAATTCTTTACTTTCTTCTGTCTTTCTTGAAGTTCCACAATAAGTTCATGTGTTATATAAGTAGAATTCAATAATATAATAAATTAGATCGTAAATGATGAAAAATTAATAATACCTTTTATAACTTACCTTCTTTAATTAAAAACAATTTGTATAATAATCATCAGGATTTTCATCACAATTTATCAAAACTCTTGTTCGGGTATAGAGAGAGACCTTTAAAAAAATAAAATAAAATAAATTTAAATTTAAATTTACCCGGTCAAAATCGAACTTTTCTTTATAAAACAAAATTTATCCTTACTCTGCTGTTCCTATAATAATTTGAATCTAGGTTTAAGGGTTGAACCTTCAGTGCAATGTGAATTCGAAGGTTCAAGGGCCAAAGGAGGTTATGCATTTGGATTTGACCGAAATCGATCTTCTTCCTGATGTTCCAAATTAGCTTATCCGAAAAACGTAGGCAACGATTCGCTTGGAAGAATGCTCGTTGATTGTCGTGTAATCATTTTTTCAGATACGAAGTGATTTTTAACATTCCAATTTGGCATAGTGCCTTATGAAACCATATCCTTGTTCAAATAGGGTGAATGTCAACTCAAATAACGAGTACATTCGGCGAACCTGTCATGATCGTTGGAAAGTTGTGGTCGTTCAACTTTTTTTGAATTCGCGTCATTTGTACCTGACATTTTTAGATCGCGACAAAGAGTGGTGTTATTTTTTATTCGAGGAAAGTTTTCTCGACTTTTGACGTATTGTCTCGGGATTTGAAGATAGTTATATTTATAATAATGTAAGGTATTATTATTGATGTTAAGCGACCTCGAAAAAATGGAGAACAAACAATTTTGTCAAAAATCAGATAAATTCCTTTTTTTTTTTTAAAAAAAAAAAAACAAAACAAAATCATCTCGAAAAAAAGCGATCAAATTTTACAAAAAAATAAAACTTTTTTTTTATTTATTAAAATAATTCATTTAAAATTACATCCCTTTGAACTTTAAAAAAAAAATATTTTTTTTTCCCACAAATTCCCAAACCGCTAATAATTATAATTTATTTTTTTTGGACTGTCAGACTGTGCTTCTGCCCTCGCCATATAACTTGGAATAGTTATAGGCAAGTTCATCAACTGGAAATCAAATAAATCCCTAGAACTCCTCCGAAGAAGAAAACCAGAAGCAAATTTGATAACCACACATCCCTTTACGGGTAGAGCACTATGGTTCATCATCCAGCCTAAACGTTGTGTCTAAGTTGGAAAACAAAGACGGGTTGACTGACTATATACAGATCCTGTAAAGTACAGTCGATATGGAAAATGATAAAGCGTGAGGCTTGACCTTTTATTAGAAAAGATTAAATTATGGGATTCCTCATTTCAAATAAGTTACACGGGAAGATCCTTTCATTCTTAATGTTGGTTATAAAATTGATACAATTTATCGATTCCATTGCGTGCTTACCAGGATTTTCCACAATTGATAAATATGATAAGTAATCATTAACTTATTATTATCATAATGTGTAGATCTGGATTATTTGATTATTAATAATTCAAGTATGAAAATATATAAATATTAAAGGAAAAAAAAAATGGTGTAATAAAAATAAAATTTTGAAATTCATGGCTATGCTACTTCGTAACATTTTCCATTATTCGAAATCTATCAATGCATTGAAACATGGTCGTGATCATCGAATAACTAATTTGTTAGCTCAAAAATCTATAATCACAAAATTCACAAGAGGAACAGGTATTTAAAAATTTTTATCTTCAAATTTATTTATTATCTTTTGAAAAGAAAAATAACCCTATAATTCGATTTAATATAATTATAGGTTTTCATACTTCATTGAAGGGTAATAATGCAAGCACAACGACATTACCACTAAATTCCTTTGAGTTTCCACCTTCATTGGAACAACAGAAAAATTCACCGAATTTAATCGAAATAAAAAAGAAAAGCTCAAATCCTCCCATGAGTTTCCCATGTATAGATCATTTAGCTACTCGTACTAGATCATTAGATGGGGGACCTGAACCAGCTTATGAAAAAGTTGTTTCCGGATATTCACTCTTTCATCATAATGAACCTTTCTTGTGTGATTATGGTGGTGTTCTACCTAAACTTGATATCGCATACGAAACATGGGGTGAATTAAATGAAAAGAAAGATAACGCGATTTTAATTCAAACTGGATTATCCGGTAGCAGTCATGCTAAAAGTCATGAAAAGAATGTTCATCCTGGGTGGTGGGAACAATTTATCGGGCCCGGACGTTCGATCGACACCAATAAATTTTATGTCATATGTACAAACGTAATTGGTGGATGCTATGGATCAACAGGTCCATCATCCATTGATCCATCTGATGGTGAAAAATATGCGACTAGATTCCCTATTTTGACAATTTTTGATATGGTACGATCTCAATTTTTATTATTAGATCATTTAGGTATCAATAAGTTACATGCAAGTGTTGGTGCAAGCATGGGAGGAATGCAATCCTTGGCTTCCGCTTGGTTATACCCCGATCGTGTATCTCGATTGATCTGCATCTCTTCATGTGCCCGATCACATCCATATTCTATCGCTTTAAGGCATACACAACGACAAGTTTTAATGGCGGATCCAAATTGGAATAAAGGTTTTTATTATAATTCAATACCACCACACATTGGAATGAAATTGGCACGTGAAATCGCTACTATCAGCTATCGATCTGGACCGGAATGGGAACAACGATTTGGAAGAAAGCGACAACGAGAAGAACAAATTCCAGCCTTATGTCCCGACTTTCTAATAGAAACTTATTTAGATTATCAGGGAGAAAGATTTTGTTTACAATATGATCCAAATTCTTTACTTTATATATCAAAAGCAATGGATATATTCGACATGTCAGCTTCTGTATTAGAAAAGTTCAAAAACCTTCGTTCGGTAAATTCAAAGAAATTGTTACAACACGATTATATTTCAGGATCACATAATGACACATGTTACATAAACCCTACAACGACCAATGTGTCATCACAACAATATCACACATCTACGAAATCGAATACCAATGAAAAAAAACATATCTCGTCAATGGCCACAGTGATCAATAGTAATGATTTGGAAGATTTAGTGCAGGGTTTATCGGTTATACAACAACCTTCGTTAATATTGGGCGTACAATCCGATATCTTGTTCCCTAGTTGGCAACAAAAAGAAATTGCTGAATGTTTGAGAATGGGTGGAAATGGTGACGTAACTTATTATGAATTGGATTCAATGTATGGTCATGATACTTTTCTGATTGACTTAACTAACGTTGGTAGTGCTGTTAAAGGCCACTTGGAGCTTGGTGGTTAACAACTACTTTTATGTATGAAATATCTATGTATACAACTTATAATTTACAAAAGTAAAATAAAAAAAAAAACCAAATTTATAAATTTTGTAATCTTGTATTTGTCGTTTCATCCCCCTTTTTTTTGCTATAATTTGAAAGTTCACAATTTTTTAATACATAAATAAACGACTACATATATAATTAATTCTGATTTCTTTTCTAAAAACTCCAAAAAAAAAAAAAAAAAATGAAAAATGAAAAATTTACCTGCTTTCGATAAAATAGTCTTGATCGTAAATTTTTTTTCCGCTAAAGATACCTCCCGAAAGAGTAAATTTAATATCTTCTGGGTGGACTAGTAGATCTTCCGCGTCGTCTACCTCCTGCCCTATTTCTAGGTGCTCGTTCTCGCTCTCGCTCCCGATCCCGATCTCTGTCCCGATCCCGATCCCGATCCCTATCTCGATCTCTCGTTTCTCTCTCAGATGTACCGCCGCCTCCATTTCCAATAGGTGCTCTTATAAAAGCGAAATCACAATGTAATGTAGATCCAAGAAGCTTTGTTCCATTAACAGCATCAATTGCAGTTTTAGCTTCTTTAAATGTTTCATATTCAACTAAAGCATATCCCTACAATATAAAATAATGAATAAATAAAAACATTTATATTCCTTAATAAAATCCCCATATTAACTAACCTTAACAAAACCCGTCCTTCGATCTAAATTTAGATGTAAATTCTTTATTTCACCATAATCTGCAAATTTATCTGTAATTCCATCTTCCGTGGTTTCTTCATGAAGACCCACCACTAAAACAATCCATCCTTCGACGGCTTCAATGATAGGTTTGGGAAAAGATGATTTATGAAAAAATTATTATAAATTAAATAGAGTATTTATATATATAATTACATACATCTATGAGCGCGTCCAACAGTAGCATCTTTTTCATCTACTGCAGATTCAAATTGGTCATACTTGTCACCAGACCTTACTCCTTCTCTTGGCTCTATTAGTATGTGTGTTTAAGATATTTATTTTAGTTTGAGTGTTACCAAAAAATTATATAAATTCACCCAAGTTACCTTTCGAATCACTTCGAAAACCACGTCCCTTGCGTTTGATAGCTGGTCTAGTATCTAAGTTTTAAAGGTACAGATGCAAATGAATTTAAAACATTAAAAGTTTAAATAATAAATGGGAGAAGTTTTGTTTATAACTCTAAATAATATGATCTCTTTCAATTCTATGCTTATAAACATTAAACTTTTGAAATCTATCTATTATTGAAGAACTACTAAAATAACTAGGTTATATAATCAAAATAAAGTGAGAGATCTGATATGGTAAAAAAAGGATCGCTAATTTAACATACCTTCGTCGATCAACATCGCATCATCGTCTTCGACGACTGGTATATCGATTTCGTATGCTTCCATTTTATCTCTAATAATCTAGTTTGTATTGGAGTAAAAGGATCTTAACACTCGTCCTTTCTTTCTGTATGATATTTTTTTGTGGTTAAATTTTTGGGTTAGTATGTCGTGTAACAGCTAAATTACGTGTCAAGTACCGTGTAACAATTCGATCGATTTTAGACCAATCTTTAGGACTAATTATTTAGCAGTAGCAATACAAAAAAAAAAATAAGTTGTATTTTGAGGTAAAGAAATAAAACAGGAGGAAAATCTCAACAACTTTTAACAAAATCTAATAGATTTATAGATTTCAAAACAAGAGTTATCGTTATGATGGAAACTTATTATTGCTTAAATTTTAATGAACCATTGAAACTATATTCATATTTTGATCCGCCATGTTTGATTATTGAATAGCCAAAGGTTCGAAATTAAAATGCGTTTTACCGATTCTTTCTTTGATCCAGTAAAGTATGGTAAAAAGAAATGATATTTAATTGTAAAAAATCATTCGACGAAGACTTGTTTAAGTAAATAACATGTTAATTTTTATATTGAAATTTTCTTTTTGAAAACCCCATCAATTCTGTTAATGAATTCTCCTCCAAAATGAGGTTTAGACCTTTGTAATATAATAAAGTTATTTCTGTACAATAATTGAATATTCAGACGCTTTTGTACGATTATCTTATTTAGCAGACTATATATTCCGAATACTTTACACCTTTCAAATAAAGAAGTCAATGAGATATAATAATTATGATTAGGTTTCCCGGATCTTAATAAACAATCATTAATCGACCACTTGACCACGTGATGGCCAGAGATCGGTCATATGATCGAAGCGCGATCCTATATATGGGACAACATTTGCTTGTAAAAAAAGTATAAAAGTAATGGATACCCAAACTCGGAAAACTGAAAAAGATAACAATTTAACCATTTCCACGGCTCGTCAAGAAGTTATTAATGATAGTAACTCTAATATTATTTCTAAACAAATAGAGTTAGAAAACGAAATTATAGTTGGATCAACGAACACGCAAAATGAAGAAACAAAAGAAGATTCTTATGTAGAAGATTCTTATGTTGTAGACGACGAAGACTTGGAACATATCGAATCTCTAGATCACCCAGATTATGATGATCAAGAATTATTATTCATACACCATGAAGATAATGGAGATAGTGATCATATGGTATCTTCGATTCACACAAGTGATGATACAGAGTCAGAAAACTCACTAAATATGCGAGATGATTCTAATAGAATGCTTGATAGTCCACCTGACATTCGTACACCTTCATCACCTTCTTTAAATTCCGAAGATAACATTAGCATAGAATCAATACCTACGGGAGATTTTTCAAATCCTTCAAATCACGATGAATCATTTGAAAGAGATATCCCAGTTATGCCAGCTCCAGGTGAAACTCGTGCACAAATTCTTGCTCCTTTGGATTTCATTGATGATTATGGTGGTGAGAGCAGAATTCAATTAACACCTATTTTAACTAAAGCTATAGAGACCGATGATGATCCACCAAGTCCGACATTACCCTCTTTACATGCTAAAACTTTAGATAATAACACCAATATCAACAATGATTATAATGATGATAACCGTATCAATAACAGTAATAGTAGTAGAAATCATTTACCTCACATTCCAGAAATTTTGTTTAGACATCAACAAAATACTGGTCTTGATTTTCGTCATAGGCAAAATTCTAGTTTAGGTGGAATGGCTTTGAATATATTTCATCATCAATTGTTGCTTCCGTTTTTTCAAGGGTTCAGTTGGGGAATTGGGATGCACCTTTATCGTTATATGAGAAATGGCTTTTCGCTTAGAAGTTTTTGGAGATCTTTATCTGGAGGTGTAAGAGGACCCTCTTCCAATAGATTGGAATAAATTTATATCAAAAAAAAAAAAAAAAAAGAAAAAAAAAAGAAAAACAGGAATAACATTTTCTACGCATCTTTTGATAATATACGTAAGAAATAATTTAAAAATACACATTCAATTTATTGATAAATTATGCGATGTATAAAATACAATTTATAAAGTAAATGTATTTATTTATACAAAGAATACAAATAAATTAACATTTTATAATAATAATAATAATATACATGTTAGAACAGAAAAATCGAGACTATGAGAGTTTACTTTATAATTTTCGAGTTACTATTCCACTTTAATATCACCTTTTGATTGTGGTGGTAAACCCATTAAACGAAGATGTTCAAGGTGAGATCTAAACGCATCCCAAAAAGTTTCCTTGTAATAAAATGGAATTCCAAATTCTTTACATGTTTCTTTGACAATAGGAGCAATTTCACCGTAACGATGTTGAGAAACTTGAGGAAATACATGATGAACAGCTTGATAATTCAATGATCCAACTATTGATGTCCAGAAATATGAATCATAAGCATAATCTAGTGTGGTAACAATTTGCATTTCTGCCCAATCTTTTTGGATTAATCCTGTTTCATCAGGAAGTGGCCTATAAATTAAGTAAAAAAAAAGGAAACAAACATTTATTTATCATCACATTTTTAACTGAAAAAATTAAAAGAGCTCAGCGTTACATACCATTCTACTTCCTCTACAACATGGTTGGCTTGAAATGTTAAAGCCAACCAATAAGATGTGACCAAATCAGCGATCACGAAAAGTAAAGCGAATTTCCATGCGGGTATAATAATCAACGGAATTATAATTCGAAATAAAATGAAAAATGCCTTCCCACCCCAAAATATGCTCGTATGCCATGTACTAAGAGGGTTTATCCTTATTTTACCATTAGATCCAATAATATATACGATACTGATATCTTGGATACGAGTTTTAAAGGCCAATAACCCATATAATAATGGTACGAATGTTTGTTGATTTATATAACGAGAATACCAGTTTTGACTTGGTTTAATTCTTCGAAAATCCGGATCATCTAAAATTAATTACATATAATAACTATAACTATGGAATAAATGTCATGCTAAATTTAAATAACATACCAGTTAAAATATCCGGATCGGCATCCGCAATGTTAGTGTATATATGATGACCAAAAGCATGTTGATACGTCCATACAAGATGTGATGCTCCATTCAAGAAATCATGTGTAGCACCTAGTATCTTCCAGACAAATGGATCATTTGTAACTAACCGGGTGGAGTTTAAAAAATTGAAACGGAGTTTGAAAAAAATATGAAAAAATAATCAATTTAATCAATCAAACAATTAAACCTTGATGAGAAATATAATATGATACAAACCTGAAAAGTGAGAAGCGTCGTGAAGAGGATTCAATCCAATCTATTTACAGTCCATACGATTTTATTAAACTTCAATACAAATTATAACTTCATGAGTAAACAATATAAGAATACGTACTTGAGCACATGCAAAACCCATAATTATCGCAAACATGATTTGTAACCATGTTCGTTCAACAATATATGTAATAAAGAACTGCGCATAATATGATCCAATAAGTGAGCCGAAAATAACAGCGTAACGTAACCAAATGGTAATGCGATTCTAAATGATAGAATTTAAATTTAAAATAACAAAATAAATAAATTTTTTAAATTCATTGGGATTGATTGTCTTACCTTTGGATCGATTTGATTATTTTGGAAATAATCTTCAACTCTCTATTAGTAAAGAGTTAAGAGTTATAACAAATATTAGTGATGCTGATATATTAATAAACCTTACTTTTTTAAGCGTTCGATGGAATTCGGTTGGTTCTATGAATACTGGCAATTCATTACTTATTAAGGTTCCGATGAAATATTTTCTATTAAAAAATACAAGAATTAATTACAATTTTATATATAAATAAGGCAAAAATATAATATTACTTAAGAACCAAATCAGGTTTTCCAAGTTCATGGTATGTTTCAAATGCCTGTATAAAAGTTATCAGCGATAGAATCTAACTGGAAATTGTTGATCTTAGATTGAATATATATATACCTGTGTCGCATCTCTTCCAGCAGCAAATAACAAGATATCTTCACCACCTGGGTGCCTCTTTATAAAATTTGTGATATCATATACATTACCACGAACAGCGACATAGGCATCATCAGCCTTATTATGATTTGCCAATTCTTCCCAGGTAAATTTTTTACCTGAATGTAATTGAGAAATGGAATCGTGACGCATATTTTTTTTTTTTACTAACAGTAACCACCAAACTCCCTATATAAATTTTTACAAGTGAAAAAAATAAAGGAGAGAAATATTGGTGGGGTAAATTTAATCGGCATCATTTAAACAATTTTTTTTTTTTTTAAAAAAAAAAAAAAAAAAAAAAAATATCAGTTTAACAGAAATAAATATTAAACTACTTATATTCGCATAAAGTCCATAAAAGGAATTTTTTGACAATTTCGGAACAAACAATAAGGTTACAAACCTTAAAAAAAAAGTAGATTAGCACTATCACAATGTGATAATCAGTTACTAATCACCATCTCAAATGCAAATTGCATGAAAAAAAAATAAAAATTGGGAACAATTAAAACAACGATTAAAAGTTGGTATTATGTATAATGAATAATCGTTTAGAAAATATATATTAACATTGTTTGAGATTCAATGACTACCTAATTTCGACCAAATTTTTATCCCCCTTCATTTTACTCTATAAAAATATTCATGAAAAAGACTTACTATGCATTAATAGACACGTGAATCAAGCACTATGACCGCGAACATGCGGATCATATCCTATCATCTTGGCAAAGTGGGACGAAAAAAAATATATCAGGAGAAAAAGAAGCTATATTGGTTTTATTGGTTTTTAATAGGTTAAGCGATAATTTCTTTGTTCTGCTGCGCCGTTTGGATTTTAATAGTGAATCGTTAATCAACTGGTTATTTAACCGTATTAATTTTGTAATTAACCAAATTAATTTTATTAATTAACCACTTTAAAATTATTATTTGTAGCATTACGCAATATGGTTATCCTTTTTCTGGGTTAACGTTTATAGTGTAAATGATTTTTAACTAAAATTTCGTAGTTTAACCAGATTTGTATTTTCTAGAAACACAAAATTAAACTTCATCAAAAACTTTGGTAGGAACTTGATAATGATTGGGTCGCTCATTTTTATAGGGTTAGACTCAAATCAATTTTGGTTTTGAAACAGAAGGTGCGTTATATGTTTTGCAACAGGAAGGAAACTGTTTTTGAATTAGGAGCTGATATCTCACTCCAGTTTTCTCTAAATTTGTACCTTCTTTATCATTAAATGAAAAAATAACGCAATGCATTTCTACTTTAATAGGTCAAATCGGAACGGTATGGAAATGGTCATTTTCAAAATAATAAACAACAAATCACCTATAATTTTATATTAGTAAAAAGCTGATTGTCAGCTTTCAAATCATGATTTTAATTCGCAATACACTATACGTATTTTTGATGACTTTTTTGATGAAAATTCTGAGTTAAATACTAATTACTAATAATTCTCAAATTTCAAAACACAATTTATTTCACGATATGTCATGATAATTTTGGTATACAGTCAAAGCTCTCCATAACGAATCTTGATTTCCGGAGGTTATGATTTGTTATAGTGAAAAATTCGAATAAATGGCTTACCGAATTTTAAATAATTATTTGTTATATTGCAATACCAAATATCATATCCAAATTCGGTATATTGATAATTAATTATATAACACGGATACAGGGGTGACAAATAGGTTTAGGGGTCATTGCCAAATTTCATTTTTATTATGATTTATATTCGGAAGGTCAATTAGTAATCGATTTTAATTGGATACAAATTCGGCACAACTTTATTACAAAAAGTTCAATTGCATTTTCACTTTCTCACTACAAACTATTAAAAAAAAATATTCTGTTAACCTTTATTGGTATTAGTTCCGAAACACGAATCCAAAGTGACTTGCTGTTTAGAATTGAACTCTTCTCGTTCTACCACTTTACGCAACTTCTTTATGGTTCGAATTTGATCTTTTGAAAATTCAATTTTATCAGATTTTTGCTCTGTATATGTAATTATTTGATTAAGTGCTGCTAGCGCTTCATAACTACTGATAATAGGAATATCTGATTCTTCAATATTCGGTTCTTCCGGTTCTTTCATCATTTCTACAATTTCTTTATCAGTCACCATCTGGTGATTTGTTTCATCTTTTTCATATTGTAAATATTCTTTGGCAGAAATCGGGTTTTCATATACATTAGGAGCCAAACAATCAATAAGATCTTGTATTTGATTGATATTCTCCACCTCCTCATCGGTAAAATCAAAATTGGTAAAATCATCAATACTTTCATTATCATCGGTATTTTGTGGAAGGATACCAGTTTTTCTCCAACTATTTATAATAGTTTCAGGTCGAACTAAGTCCCATGCTTTTGCTGCATATTTGATGGCCTTTTTTATTGTAATTTCAGGTATAGGTTGACCAGTTTCTTGATTATTATCAAATGCCTTAATACGATTTCGCAAGAGTAACTTCTGGTACTGTGCCTATATTTATTATATTATTAGTGTTTTTTTGTTACTTACTTTAAAACTATGAATAATCCCAGCATCACATGGTTGGAGATGGAAAGTTGTATTAGGAGGTAACTTGTGAAGATAAATATTAGAAAGTATAGTATCTTCATTTAATTTGTAAGTGGATGCACCATCATAGAATAGAATTATATGTCTATTCTGAAGTCTTAAATGTGAGTCAAAAAGCTTTAGCCAATCATTCCAGATACTAACTTGCATATATGCTGTTTTATTCCAATAATATTTCACTGGAAGTGATGATTTTGTAATATGTTTTATAGCACGCGGATTTTGACTTTTTCCAATAAAAATTGCTTTTGTTTTTTCAGTTCCTGTAGCATTACAACATACTGCAATAGTAACACGTTCTTTAGATTGTTTTTTACCTACAACTATTGTAAGATAAGTATTATTTTCATTTATATAATTATTTACATTAATTTTTATATTAATCAATATTTAAATTACCTGGACCAGTTGATAAAATACGATTTGGCTCCATTTTCCAGTAAAGTCCAGTTTCATCTACATTAAAGATATCATTAGGTGAATATTCTTTAAGAATATTTTGAAGATCTCTACGCATATTATCCAAATCTTCTAAAGGAGCACTTGCTGCCTCTTCATGTTTAACGTAGCATTCAAGATTATGACGTTTTTTAAAACCTGCTACCCATCCATCAGACCCTTTAAAGCCCTGTATATCAAGTAACATTGTGAAATCACATGCTTTTTGTGCCAATAATTCGCCACTGATAGTAATATTATTATCTATGGCTTTTTCGACCCAAAAACCCAAAGCTTCATCAATTTGTGAAAAACTTGGTTTAATTTGTCTTTTAAGTGAAGCTTCATAAGAATTTAATTTTAGAGCCAACCATTTTTCACTTTCTTTTAAGATATCACATATCATCACTTCTGAAATGCCAAACTCTTTAGCAAGTTCTTTATTTTTAGATGCTAGTTTCTGCAACTTTTTTTTGGCAAACTTCTTGTTTTTGAGCACCTGTAAGAGAGGCTCTAGTTCGTTTTACATCAGAAGCTTTCTCTTTACCTTTATGAGAATTATTTTTTCTTTTTCTTTAGGCATTTCAAATAAAATGATTGATTATCAAAAAAATTCACACAATTGTTTGATTTTATAGTATGAACTTTCTATTAATGGCAATCAAAAAAATTCATTGTATCCCTTAAATTTAATATAAAAATTCGCTAAAACAAATTCGTTATATTCATGATGAAAATTCGTTATAAAAAAAGTTTGCTAATAAAAGCTTCATTTTATTATACTTATATTGATCTTCAGATTCGTTGTATATAATAGTAAAATTTACTATAAAAATTCGTTGTATTTAATTATTTTATTTAATAAATTTTGTAATACTCGTGTGATTCGCAATAATGCAAAGTTCGGAATACAGAAATTCGTTATAAAGAACTTTGACTGTATACAGAAAATCACGTAATCGAAAAATAGTGCATCTTGAAAATCTTTCTATACATAAAAGAATTTAAACTAAACTGATAACTTTATAAATCTGACTTATATTCTATAAAGATATCGGCTTAGCTTTGTAATAAATTATTTATCTAAAAGTTATAGTCATTATATTTTCTTCGAATTGAAACAATCACGTAAATATTTTGTTACATTTGATTGGTCAAGACCAAAAATTCCAAAAAAGTTGAAGTAATAATGATTTGATCATTTAACTCTTACTAATTGGTCATATTTGAATTTAATATAATAAAAAAATAAATAAAACATATATAATCTTATTTTTACATTGTTTATAAATTATTCTACTGATTTTATTTTTTTTCTAAATTATAAATTAAACTCTTTTTTATAAATGAAATGTTATCATAAATTTTGATTTGTTTTAAAATTCTTTAACATAAACCATATTAATATTTATTAAGAAAAAATTGAAATAACATTTTATAAAAAAAAAAATAATAATCATGTAATTTATCTAGAAATAAATTGTTTTGTATTCTAAAAAGATAATATAATTAATTATCTATATACAAGATATATAAGAAGCAGTAATGATATGCAAAAAAAAAATTAGAAAAATAAATATTTATGATAAATAATAAATAATAAATGATATTAAAATTTCAAAAACAATAATCTTAAGAAAAAAAAAATAATTCAAAATAATAATTAAAAAATAATTTAGAAATAATATATTGTTATAATCAATTATTTAAAGTAACAATATAATAAAGTAAATAGAAGATATAAGCTTTATAAGTAGATTATAAATTAAATCAAAAAAATAACTATTTATTTAATATATATTAATAAATGAGTATTATTTTCATTAGCACTATATACTATATAAAAATTTTATATTAAATTAAACTATCTAAAGATAAAACTTAAAATATATTTATATAAAAATAATTATATAGAGTATTTGAAGATATATGAGATACATAATAATATAAAATATATAAAATATATATATAATAAAAAGATATAATAAATATAAAAAATACAAGAGATATATAACATATATAACATATATGACATATTAATTAATGCAATTATATACGTCATTTGAATTATCTATGTCATTTTATATAAATATATTATTGTAAAAAAATATTAACTAATATATAAAACTAAGCTTTTATTAAAATAATACAAATATTTTTAATATAAATTCTAATACTATTTATTAATATTTATAATACAAAGCTTAATAATGTCTATTAATATCTTAATATGATTATCTTTAATTCATTTGCAAAAGCCTATATAATCTTTCAATTTAATGTCAAGTTTTTAATATACCTTAAAGAAGTTAATTAAAATTATTTATTTACAAAATTATTCAAATTATATATATATTTATATATGATTATTTGTATTTAATAAGTCTAGATATTAGTTATATCTTGGTTAATTAGAAATAAGTAAATTTACTAGAATTTAATAAATGATTAGTTGGTAAGCTGATCATTTTTTCAATTTAGTAAAAATTTATTATCCTAATTAGTTAGAATATAATTTTTTTATCCTTTTTATTTATATAGATTAAAGATAAGAACTGTAATTAATATGTTGTAACTTTTAATATTGCAACATACATTGCAATTAGTTTTGATTTATATTTGTTACCACTTATAATGTTGCAACATATATTGCAACTAATTTTAATTTATGTTGCAACATATTGTAAATTTAAAATTAATTGCTATATCATCTTTAATATAGATATAGTATATTAATAAATATTTAATTAATTAGCATTAACATTAATTGATTAAATTTATACTTTTATTCTTTTTCTATCTATTTTTATTTTTATAATTTAAAAAAATAAATTAAAGGTTTAAAAAAGTTTCTTTTATTACATTCAAAAAATAATATTGCTATTATAAATAAATTAAAAGAAAAATTTTTACTTTAAATAAAACAAAAATATCTGAAATATATAAAACTTCTAAATTATTCATATTAAAAAAATATAAACATCTTTCTATAAAAATTTTACAAAATATATTACTATATCCAAATCTAAAAATATTAAAAAATATAAGATTATAATTTTTCAAATTTTAAATAATATATAATCAAAAATAGATTTACTAACTATTTTATAATAAGAAAGTTATTGTATTATTATTATATAATTTTATTATAATTATTAAATTTAGAGACAAGAAAAATTACAAAATAAATTTATTATATAGTAGAATTAATACAATATATATAACCTAATCCTAATCTCTAAAATTTAACAAAATTCAAATTACTATTTCTTACTCAAAAAAAATGATAAATATAAAATATAATAGTAGAATGATAGAGCAACTCAAACTTAACAAAACTATGATTTTAAATTTTTATAAAATGATTTTTAATAGAATAGTTGCAATTCTAAGTTAGGAAAGGTATTTTACTAATAAATTAGATATTTTGATTACTTTACATATAATATATGTAATCAATATACTTATTATTAATTGGCTAATTTATACTTAAGTATTAAGTTAGATTAGTTTGATTTAAGATTGCTAGATAAAATCAAGAGTTTAGACAAACATCTAAAAGTAAAGATAAAACTTAGTTAAAATTTTATTAAAAAATTTATGAAATTCAGAAAAAGGTAAAATTATATCAAAACTTATAAAAATAGTGAAACTATATTAAATATTTAGTAAAAATTTAGTAAAACTAAAAGTTTAAACATTTAGCTAAATCCAAAATAAGTTTAGATAAGTAACCTTAGTTTGATCACATTTTAATGTACTGTAACTAAATTAAGAATTGTCTTCTATTCCATCTTTATAAACGAATTATTTTCTTTTTAAATTCAAAATATAAGCCTTTAATATTTAAACAATATATTTCTCTTCTTAATTTATTCAAAAAATTAAAAATAGATATTCAAATAAGATAAGTATTCTAATTTTTAAGCAGTTTATTCTAATTGCTATTGTTACATTTATATTATTTACATAATCATTAATTTTTCTTCTTTTCTTTTGTCTATAGTCTAATATAAGCAAGTATGTATTAAATGAAACTTTTATTTTAAGTATTGACTGATTGTAAAACTAAATCAAAAATCCAGTTATATGAACAGTATTTTTTAATTGCAAATTCTGCTGTTCATCTGTTAAGCCTTTCAGTATAAGTTTATATAATTAAATGTTTTTTTTATATACTGACAAATAATTATAAGTAAAATAGAAGTAAAAGCTAATAGAATATTTTTTTGTAACTTTTATAACCCTATCTATAAGTAATCATAATATAATTAGCTAAATTTCTTTAGTTGCATCATAAAAGTTTTTAATGTAATTGAACTCACAATAAAATTTAAGATAGAATATAATTTAATATCTAACTATAATAATAACCTTTTCTAGTCATTTTTTTTTGCTAAAAGTCTAGTTATTGACTTATTACATTTTGTGGTTTTTTCAATTTTAATCTTTTATTTGGCCATAATTATCTTTCAAACAAAACTTGTTTTAATACTTTTGACTCTTCAATAATATAATAATCTAATGAAAAGACTATGTTTTGTTGAATCTTTTTAACAAAATTTGTGCTGTATATTTTTTGATACTTTCACTAATGCTAAGTTCATATGTTTAGCAATAAACACGTCTAAATAAAAAATAATTTGACTTGATATATTGTTAAATGCAAACAAAGATTAACATCCTGAAAAGTATACTTCAAATATGGAAATAGCATATTTAACTATTTGATTTATCAAGTTATCAGCTTTTTACTATCTATCATTATTTTTGCTTGATGTATAATAATACAAGCTTCTTTAGAAAAGTTATTTGATATTTGTATTTTATTAAAAAATGCAAGTTGATTATAAATATCAATCAAAAAATCACTAATAAGAATCAAGTAACTATTACTTTTTTTTCATAAGAATTATTTACATTAGAAATCTAAAAACTTTAACTTATAAAATACACTTATCATATGTAATAAGGATAAAAATTCATTTAACGAAAACCATAACGAATCATTTAACGAAAACCAAAATGAATTGTTTAAACGAATTGTATTACAGATTCATTAATGAATTATTAAATGGAATTCGTTTAACGAAAATCAAAATGAATCATTTAAATGAATTATATCACAGATTCGTTAATGAATCGTTTAACAAAACTGAAACAAATCATTTAAATGAATCATATTACAGATTCATTAATGAATTGTTAAACAGAATTTGTTTAACGAAAACTGAAATGAATCATTTAAATGAATCATATTACAGATTCGTTAACGAATCATTTAATAGAATTCATTTAACAAATCAGTAACGAATCGTTAAATAGTATTCATTTAATGAAAACTGTAACAAATCGTTATACAGAATTCGTTTAATGAAATTCATAATGAATCATATAATGGAATTTATTTAATAAAAATTGTAATGAATTGAACGAATTGTTTAAACAAATCATATTACAGATTTGTTAATAAATCATTATAATAAATTTCATAACAAATTTTTGTAATGAACTGTTAATAAATTTTATTACAGATTATTAACAAATCTTGTTAACGAGACTTGTTAATGAATTGTTACCAATTGGTAAATTCTAATTGAATAATAATCATCAATCGGGTATTAAACTGATTGATAACTAATTATTAATTGAATCCGATTTGTTACTATTTAATATATAGTTATAAATTTTTTAAAATAAGTATAAAATCAGGTTGAAAACTAATTTATATAATTCTACTATTACAGAGTGATTATAACAAGAAAAATATAGCTCAGTAAATGATCAATATGTTTCACAAAATTGATCTACTAGAAGATTTACAAAATGATCTACAGAATTGATCTACTGGATGTTCTGTAAATGATTTACACATGTAACGTTAGAAATGTTAAACAAATGTTATATAACTTATATATTTGATATATCTGACATATCTAACATATCTAACATAACTGACATTTCTGACATGTCTGACATATATGATATATCTGACATGTTCGACAAATAGAACATATTAGACAAGTCAGACATAATAGATATATTTGATTTATTAGACATGTATAATATATTAGTTTTATCTTTCTATGTAAATTATTTTATATAAATAGAATGGTTTGTAAATGTTGAAAAGGTAGGGAGTTAGATTTCCTCTAGCCTGATGCTAATATTCTTCTTATATGTTTTATTCTTTTCTTTTATTCCTAAAGAATTTTACGCAGAGTTGTGTAATAATTTTTTAATCTTTATTTATTTACTTTATAATCAATAAACTATTTTATTATTTACATCCGTGTGATCTATAACTGATAGCATGATATTTAAACATTTGAGTAAAATCTACAAGTCTGCGTGATGCATAAGTCTTAGCGATAAGCTGCAATCTGAGTATAAACCTATAAGACAATCAGGTCTTCGTATTTAACCTGTGTAAAGACAATCAGGTCTTTTATGTTTAATCTGTGTAAAGACAATCAGGTCTTTTATGTTTAATCTGTGTAAAGACAATCAGGTCTTTTATGTTTAATCTGTGTAAAGACAATCAGGCCTTTTGTGTTTAATCTGTATAAAGACAATCAGGTCTTTTGTGTTTAGTCTGTGTAAAGACAATCAGGTCTTTGTGATAGCTTAATATCTTAGTGAAATATCAAATCAATATGTCTGAGTGACACAAGTTATAAATCAAGGACTTCAAGAAAGATCAGTAATTACTACGTATATTAAAAAGAAATAACACTTGAATACCCCGTCTAACAGTTGTAGTTCGCAAGAATTACACATTAACACTACCTAATAATTATGATTATGGTATTAACTGATTCATATTTGATTGTAGTATCTACTAATTTTATCTATTAATTGCTAATCAAAAAATAGTGACTAATCGGGAAAATACCTGATTGATCAGCTTTCAATTTGTGTTAAATATAACAATTGAATAAAATTTGAGTTAGTTTTATTAGAGATAAAAGTGTCTTTAAATTTTACGAAATATATGCAAAAAAATTCATTTACCATTACGCTCCTATAAATTCCACTTTATTATATAGATTTTTCATTTGTTTTGACAAACACATTCATTTTTATTCAAAATATCTCAAATAAGCAATAACAACAAATAATAACAAATATTACGTATTGTAATCATGATGTGATTATATATAATAACTATATAAATATTGTTATTTTTTATTATTACAATTATGATTATATATTATTATTATTATTATTATTACTATTACTTTATACAAATTAAATAAAATTAACTTGTGATATAATGAATTTTAGAATTTGAATCTCAATTTCATTATATAATTATATCATATAAAGAATTTAACATTATAACAATATATATTTAACATATTTGATTGATTGAATATTAAAAATTCGCTATATTAAGGTTTGTTTTATGTTAATATAACCTAAAATTTCAGTAATTCTACTATATATTAATTATAAAAGAACAAAAAAAATATCAGTATATATTACGTTATGAAACCATTGTCACTGAAAATAATTCTCTTATATTACACATGTTTTACTAAGTTACTTTACTGTAGCAAGTAAATTCATTATCATCAGACTTTATAACCTTAGGAAATTTCACATTATACAAATATTCAGAATGCCTTAGAATTACTTCATTTGACTTTACTAACTTAAAGATTTAGAAACTTAGGAAAAATGTAGACATAGAAGAGAAAAGTAATTGTTTTTCAAAGTTGATTCCTTTATTTATTATTAAAACTCACAAATATTTTTGAATTTATAAGAGAGTTAATTTACAACTTAAGCAAAAAGCTATTCTATTTATACAAAATTAATTTGCTACAGTTAACTAGTTGCTATGCTATAAACTAAATAAATTTGTAACTACAAGTGCTAATATAATAATAATAAAAATAATAACAAAGATAATAGTTATAATAAAAATAATAAAAATTAACAATAATAATTATTCAGCTTATAAGGCTTATCAGATGGATCCAGTGAATCAGATAAATCTTAAGAATCCTAAGAATCCTATGGATCCAGAATAAATCATTTTGTAGATCAACTTTTTAATAGTAAATTTTTAACCAGTATCCCCTTGCAGTCAAATTTGCCTGCAATTTTGAAAATTAATAGTTGATCGCCAAAAAAAAAAAGGATCATCTGACATCTGAGCCAATCGTTTATTAATATAAATTAGTTATTTTTGTCAATACACGCGATTTTGATTGATAGAATTTCAAAAAAAAAAAAAAATGAACAGACGTTCTCGAGGAAATAGATCGATTGAAACATATCAATTTAGTCAAAGAGACATTGCACCACGTGGCATTAAACCTATCGAGGACCATATTGAACGAACCCCCGAGTATAATGCCTTCATGAAAAGTTTAGAAGAGTTTCATAAATCCCATGGGTAAAAATTGGAAACTATAAGTTATTTTCCTTCTGGAAACGAGTTTCCAATGTGCGGTCGATTTCTTTATATCTCAAGTTGCAACTAGCTCACACTTTTTCCTTGAAATTTTTTGATAAAACAACTTTCTTATCAGTACTACCTTACAAAAAGAGCCTGTTTTGGGTTCCAAAAAATTAGATCTCTATAAAATATATCGAATGGTGATTGCGAACGGCGGTTGCGAGAAAATTTGTTCCGAGAAGGCGTGGAAAAAAATTTGCGAGCCGTTCAATTTTCCTCATACTTGCACGAACAGCGCTTACGTGATGAAGAATGTTTATATAAGATTTTTGGAAGCGTATGAATTGGAGAATCATTGGGGTAAACCGGTTCCTTACGGAGGTCTACCTCATCGACCAGGGCCACCAACTCCACAACCACAGGATCATTTATCGTCTACTCCTCAAGGAAATATCACACCACCAAGAAAAGTTAACTCTCTAGACAATATGAAAAGTTTACAATCATTGCGTGTTATGCCAAGTAATCATGGTATATTTATTAACATTATAAAGTATTTAAGTAATTTGCTTTTAACTTAAATCTTATTATTCAACTAATTAGATTCGATAACTCCAATTCAACATTATGCTAATTATGATCAACCTAGTGTTCTAATGGAACACTTTATTGATGATGAAATAGAAGAAGAGCACGGTATATTTTTGTTAATTTTTTTTTTTATTAATTTCATTATCATAATTCATTAATAATTTTTGTTAGATTCTCTTTTTGGCGGAGGATATAATAATCGTATCCTTCTCGCTTTGAAATCTCAGCTACCAAATGAAATTGATTGGGCATTTGAAGTGTTGATACAACTTTCAGAAGATGAAAATATCATTTTTTATATAAATAAAATCCCTGGACTCATAGATGTCATTCTTACATTTGTGGCTCCTTTTTATAAGGATATGCGGAAACTTACTGAATTAGCTAGTGTCAAAGAGATTGGGAAAGATGGAGATTATATTGAATCTACTATTAAAGAATATTTTAGTTCATTAGCAAGCACTGAACAATTGAAACGAGTTATGCAAATATTTCTAATATTTCGAAATTTTTCATTCCTGGAATTTAATTCTGAAATAATGGCTACTTATAAACCATTGCGAAGATTCCTTATCGAAGGACTTAATTTACCTGAAATTACTCGATTTTCTGAGTTGACTTATCATTGTTTGGAAACTGTAGAAAACATGTGTAAATTCATAGTATTGAAAAGTGGAAGAGAAGAACTTCTTTTAACCTTACCAAAGATGCTTTATTCCAATGATTCTGCTTTAATCATTCGTAGCATTCGAGCATTAACACGGTTAGCTTCCAATGAAAATAATGTAGAATTTATGCAAGAAATCGATCCCAATATGGTAGAACGTCTAGTTCAATTTTTGCTAATTGATGATGATGAAGAAATTATTGTTGCCGTATTGGATTGGTTCTATCAATATACAACTTGCGAGGAATCGGCTTATAAATTAGCCCAAATTGTACCTTGTAATTTCGTACGGATTTTAATAAGTTTCTTAAGATATGGAGCAAGTGATGAGGATTTCCAGCAAAATCAAAAAATGCCCGAAAAACGTTCATTTCAGATCCGCGGTGAATTTGAAAACTTTCCAGAACCATATCGTACGATTGAATGGTAAGCTATTAAAAGAAAACCACTAGAAAAAAAATTTTATATTAATAAATATTTTATTAGGTTAAAAAAATATTATGAAGATACTTCCGATGATGGGGTTTTACAAACAGAAATTTGGTATGCTTATCGTGATCAATTCATGAATTCACCCACGCCAATGTTGCCAGCTGCAGAGGTTATTAAGAACGTTAATATGGCTTTCCCAGATTCTTCTGCAATCATGATAACAGCAGAAGATGGTGCATCAAGATATCCTTTTTTTTATTAATCTTTTTTTTAAAGTTATCAGGATAATATATTTTTTTCTTGACTGCAAAATACATATATGGTTAAAGGAATTAAACGCAGAAAATGTCCGGACGAATTATCTGGAGCAGGTAATTTATTTTTTTCTTAGATACAGTTATATTGTTAACAAAAAATGCATTAACACTTAATTTTATTAGTTCCTTCGTATCGATGCCGATGGACCAATTGTAACGATGTTACGTTTTCAAAGGATACTGAATTGTATAAGCATGTATTTAATGAACATGTCAATACAGAACAAGAGTGTCATTGGATGGATTGTAAACGTTTTTCTAGTGGTTCTACAAATCGAATTGCAGTTATTTCTCACGTCAAAACTCATTTCCCTGTTGAGCCAGATATTGATTCAGAAGGGAGAAGACGCAAAGCAAAGACAGCTAAAGTAATGTATAAATATGGTAAAAACAATGGCATCATCAATCATAGAACTTATGTATCATCCGATACGAATGGTGATGCTCTTGGAATTCCATTAACAGCATCCTTGGTACTCAGAAATTTGTCTACTTCAAGGAAAAATTTACATTATTTTGTTGCCTATGAACAAGAACTTACAGAGATGTTAGCTAATTGTGTTGGTTTGTCAAAACATTTAGCTGAAACATTAAGTAATTTGAGATCAGTATAATAATGAAGTTATAATAAAGATTTATTCAAATTTGTTATATGTTAAAGACAAACCTTTTATTTATTAATTGATAATTTTTTGTATTCAATACAGTAGTGAAAAGTCACCGAGCATCTTAAATTATATCATTCAAAATGAATCAAAATTGTGCATTATAATTAACGTTCGTTAGAAAATTTTCATATTAAACTTTGTTTAACGGTCTCAATTAAATCACGTGATACAATTATTAAATTAACCAATTAAAATATGAAGTTTTTTTATTTGATTTCTAATACAATGATTCATTATTAACTTTGTTATAACAGATTTCACTAATTTACCCTCATAGGCTCTGATTGACTGGTATAATTAACTGTTATTTGTTATATACTAGGGGATGACAAATAAACATTATCACTCAAAAAAATTATAAGTCTCTCAGATACTTAATAAAAATTGAAACAATACTGGTCACATCTGTGATAAATCATTTAAGTTTTAATCCTAATCCTAATCCTAACTAATATTAATTAAACCAGTCAATCAGAGCCTAGAAGTAAATTAGCAAATCCATTGTAAAATACATTTTATTATCCCATTATATAAAAGCAATAAGCAACTTATTTTCATTAGCAATACTTGCTTTGCAATGCCTAATATTATAACTTATTTTAACAATAAGTACAAGTAAAGATAGTACCCATAATTAATTTAACAATATGTTATAATTATAAAATTTTATAATCTTGTTACAACATTTGTTATAATTTGTTATAATTAAAATTATGTCATAATTTAAAATATAAGACACAATTAGCCACATCTTAAAGTATAAGGCGCAATTAGCTGCAACTTAAAGTATAAGGTGCAATTAAGTTGCAACTTAATTGCACCTTATACTTTAAGTTGCAGCTAATTGCGACATATTTTAAGTTGTGGTTAATTGCGTCTTATACTTTAAGTTGCGGCTAATTGCATATTATACTTTAAGTTATGGCTAATTATAACTTATATTTTAAATTGCAACATTTTTTAAATTATAATACATGTTATAATTATTAAAAAATTTATATGATGTTGCAACATTTTAATTATTATATCCATTTTTAAGTACAAGTAATACTTCTGAATTTTTGCATTACAGATGGCTGTTGATTTCTCAACATTACTAATAATTCCATTTCACTAATCCGGCCAGAATATGAAACCAATTCTATAAATTTATTCCGCCTAATATTATTAGTTTAATAACTAATTTTAATATATATAAATTAACTTTAAAGTATAAGTAAAATTCCTTCTAAATTTAAAAGGAAAACTATTGAAGGGATAAAACATCAAAGGATATTTACAAATAGTTCATAGGATTTAGAAAATTTTTTTCAAATATAATTGACCATTCATTTTAATATCACGTAATTAAAGCCTATTTATTAAATTGCAATAGAAATAGAATAAATCAATTTATTAGTTTTTTATAAAGTTTAGATCTTCATACGCTTTCATTTGTCTTTACTGCCCTGCATCCACTTCAAATGTTTCTTTGAATTAGAATTAGCAGTATTATTGCCACAGTCACTACAACGTGGATGTTTACCTTTTGCTAGTTTAGAAACCTCTAAATTGCCATACTCAATGCAAGCGTATAGGTAGATTCCAGTTGAATAGTATGGTTTTTCCACTTGTGATACACAGAACCATGAGTCATTAATGAAGACTCTTGAAAAAAATTCATAAATAGAATCTTCTGCATTATTATTAGACTCTTCCTCTACAGTATTATCGAACTCTTCATCTTCATCTGTATTTTTAGATTCAAACTGTTCATTTTCATCTTCCTTATCCATGTTTTCTTGATCATTAGCTTCTTCGTTATAACTAATATCATTTTCAATATCATCATGTTGTTTTAGTGATACAGTCATTGCCAAGTCACATATATCATGAAATAACATACCATAGGTATAAAAAATTATATCTAAGAATTCTCGTAAGATTGTCTTATCCTTTTTAAAAAGTTTTTTTGTACTGAATAAAAGACGTAGCTTTTCATATTCAATGCAATTTACAATAATACCAACATTTTTTGCATGTACAGCAGAAGACAAAATAGCATAGTGTGTTTTGTTTTTGTAATTTTTGTTTTACCTTTCTTTACTTTTGCCTTAGCATTCACAAATGAAGGTCTATGATTTTCTGATATTTGTATACCATATAACTCTTCAAATGACTTGTAATGCAAGTCATCTTCAGATACTGGATTTGAAAGACAATGCAGTTGTTTAAAATCTTCTTGTGAATAACGAAGATGACGACAAATAGTACAGGCTGATTTATTGCATTTCTTGATTGTAAAAAAATAATGTCTTGCTGTATAACAATAGTCTAAGAATTTCATCTAATCATTATTGACTAGAAGTATCTTTGATAAATTCTCGATAAACTTTTACATCTTGCAAAAGTGGCTTTAAACAAAAATATGTTATTCAAGCTTTTTTTTTGTATAATAAGTCATTCAATTAGAACTTTACTTACCTTACGTTTTATTTGTTCAGTAATACAGTCTTCATAAGTAACACTATTATCTACAAGCTGAATTGTTTCCCAAAATCTCTCTATTTCTATTTTTGATGCTATGGTAAATATTTTGAATGGTTCATCTTTGAAAGATTAACAGTTGAACACATCACTAATCAAATGAATTGGAGTTTGAAGGCTTGCAATGAGATCTCTTTTTAAACTAGAATTTTTTTCAGCAATTTTGCGGATTTCGCTCATTATGCCGCCTTTACTTATTAATTTTTCTGATTTATCATTCATTTTAGTTCGCATTAGACCAACACTTTATAACCCTAGATTCAAAATTGACATAAAATATTCGATAGGATTTTCCATAAATGTTGTGGTGAAGTTCGAACAGCAATCAAATAATCAAGATTTAATGCAAGAAAAAGGCAAATATAAGAGAGCTGAACACAGGTATATGTGCAATGATGATCTGGTCCACCATCTGTATAGAGACACAATATAAGTTTATTAGTGAGTTCTTCTTTAAGAAGTATGTGATATAATTTTGTTGCATGACGAAGAGAAGAGAAAGGTTAAAAGATTGGATCCTTTAATCTGATATGTACTTTTTCTGTATAAAAATCACTATTTATTGATTCTGGTATATTGCATATCATCGCTACTATATATGAAGTCAAAATGGATCATTTTAGATATCCGAAATGGTTGAAATGGTCAAAATCATTTTGATCATTGGAGACTAAAGTCACGAAATAGTCAAAATAATGTCATATCACATGATTTTTTATATTTAGAAAAAACAAAAAACAAAAGATGTACGATCTCGGTCAATATTGCTCCGATTCGTATGAAACAACTACCATTCGATTCCTTATTCGATTCCTTGAACTCTTTCCTAAAATTTTCAGACCATTTTTCAGAAAATATTAAAAACTTTAAAAAATAAATTTTTATTATACAAACTAAATACAAATATTATTAAAACACTTTATATAACTTTTAAAACAATAATCTCTAATACTTTAGAATTTTATAGCGACATTTTCACAAAAGATACGAAAACTTTTTTACAACTTATCACTAATGTTACCCCACACCTCGCTGAAAAAGACGTGGCTATAGCAAAATTTCTAGGTTTTTAGACTTCTGAAATCTTTTGGCTTGTCAGAAAACTCAACTTCAAATATGATAAACTTTTCCAGAAAAAATAGAACTTCCAAAAAACTTTATTGAACAAATAGCATGTACTAGTACGTTAATAATACACGAAACTGAAACAAATGACTTTGCTACGAATGTCACTAAAGACATCATCAACAACACCCTTAACAATATTTTAGAAAATGATGACATTATTTCTATCGCCGACACGACCTCTCCTGAAATGGATATGCTCAAAGAAGATGACATGGATTCTTTCTCTTAAATCACACACAAAAAACTTCCTCACCTTTCCCTTTCTCAACAAACAATACTATCAACTCTTCAAATAATGATTTGATTATTTCTGATCTACCTGTGCATTAACCACGTAAACAATCACGTAAACAGAATAAAAATGTGTCAAATAATAATTTATTACGTGATGATAATAAACTACCCCCTATTTTATCAAACACCAACACAGACACATCCATATATAATATCAATCATAGTATGCATCATAACATCTTAAATAAGGACGATCTACATCACACAATCAATCACACTTCTTACACTTCTTCTAATAATAATAATAATGATCATGTGATTGCAACGGTTCTCGCCAATGTTCTTCCTGGTGACAATAGATTTGATCAATTAAGTTTGATCAACACTTGCTTTTCAAACAAGCCTGGTTTCATTAATCTCGATTAGAAATTTTACAATGGCAATGCCAATATTTTTATTGAATTCAATAATAGAAAACTCCTTTTTTTTGCGATAGATGATGTTTTATTGACACATTCCAATATCCCATTTAATATTTTAAATCAAGAAACTTCTCTTCCTTCATACCCAAATGCACCTGTATATAGATTAAAATGGTTTCTACTACGATTTCTCACCAACATATAAAGAGAACCTTATCTTATTATGGTTCAATAGAAACACTTGAAGATAAATTTAGAAATCGTTATGATTCTTCTCAGGATATAATTGTCACTTTTAAATGACTCACCAGACCACATCAATTTAACTTAGCCTGGGTCATAGCATTAACGGTCTAGTCTTGAGATGTGCACATATTGATACTTCAATTGATGAACTCAAATCTAGAAACAGTTTCGTTGCTGGTTTCAAAAGATTTCCGAATAAAATACACCTGCAGAAGCATTCAGATCAATGAGACCTCATAAAGCTTGTTCTTATTATTTTCACAATAACATTGCTTACTTTACTTTTTCAAATAAATCGGATATGCATCAAGCTTGTTCCGCTAGAATTTTACACAATAGACACAAATTGAATGGCTGACCTAGAATCCTTAGTAGATCATACACTCTAGT